CTGTGTGGAGTTATGTTTTCATAACTCATGTATATGTCTATGACAGTGATTAATAAGTAAGATTGAAACCAGTATGGTTGTACCTGGATTGTTCCCTGCAAATTCATGAGAAAATCTAATCCCCATGGTGTACACTAATAGGTGAGGTCCGGTGGTGTGTAGACTTATAGGTGAGGACATGACATGAGTAAATATGGACAGTGGGTACTTAGGAGCCAATTAGAAGTAGGGAAGGTGTTGGAGTCCCCAGGATTGATACTGGAGCTGAATCAGTGAGAGGAGAGCACGGAGCTGCTGCTTAGATGCTCTCCATTGATGCGCTGTGTGGTGACCTCAGGCCCCAGTCAGCAGGAAGCCATTACCACGTTGAAATTTCTCACCGTGGCCCAAAGCTCTGAGCCACGGAAAACCTCTTCATGAATACCGAACGTGAAATACTCTGTTTACAAACAGAAACAGACTGAGCAAAAGTGGCTTGTATTTTCCATAATTGCATAGTGTCAGGGTGTGGTCCAGTGTGATGTGCATCTTCTAAATTCAGCAACTGTGAGTCATCCTCATACTCAGCAGCAGTTGTTACCATGTGTCTTTCAGACTGGTCTGCTCAGTGGCATTTTGTTGGGATGTAACAGAACATTGGCCTCATGACTAATGGCGAGGATGGTTTTAATAGCTATGAATATGTAATTAACTGTTTCATTCTAAAGAAGATTGACATTTTTGCTCTATGATTAAGATGAAGAAAGAGTTGTAGGAGAAGACATTGTTTAATTGTATTTTCTTTCTTTTTACTTGAAAAAAGAAAACTGTGCAAAATAACCTGTCTGAAGAGAGGAGCTAAGAAGCGCAGTTTGCTGCAGGGGATGGGCTGAAGAAGCCAGTGTTGTCTAAAACTGTGGGAAGACATGAGTTAAACAAGAGTGAAATCCAGGTCAGGATCAAGGCCTTGCTCAGCACTGCCAATGCTGTCTTCTTCAGGTACAGGGAGAAACACCAGTGTGAGAGCCTGGTGAGACTGGCCTAGCTGGCTCTCGTGGATCTGTGGGACAAAGTAAAGCTCTTTTCTTTATAATTCACTGCGTCTGAACACTTGTGCTTAGAAAAAGAAACAGAATGTGCATCAGCTTTTTGTTAGCAGATGCTGGGAAACACTGTGTCTTGTTTCAATATTGAGTTTACACTAAAAGAGTTGAGTTGAGTGCTGGAGAGTAATCACTTACAGAGCACTTGCTTAGCATATGCTATGATCTTAGTTCAACCACATTACCACAAACCTTTAGACAGAAAAGAAAAATAGATTTGAATTGGGACTGTATTGAAATGAAATCAGAATCTAGAATAGATATCCACATTCCCGTGTGCATTGATGAATTAATAGTTAAGGTGTGAAGAAAGCATACATCCACTTCACTGCACCTGTTAGTGAGCTTTCAGTTGGCGTAAAAAAAGTACCTGGCAGGCTGGGGATTTAGCTCAGTGGTTCCACCACACACTTCCTAAGTGCAGGGTCTCAAGTTCGATCCCTGGTACAAAAAAAAAAAAACGAAAAACCTGACCCACTTTAAAATAAGAGTAGATTTATTGTGGATTATTTTGGGAGGTTTCAGCTCCTGGTGAACCTGTTTTATCACTTGTAGTCTTGTAGCAAGGCAGAAACATCCTCGTAGAGAGGCAAGGTGAGAAACTCTGGTCACCCTTATTTCATCCAGGAAGGTGGGAGAGGAGACGGAGGAGGAGAGGGAGATTAAATGCATCCTTCTAGAGCATGCTCCCATTGACCTTCTTCCTCTAAAACATGAACAAGTTAACCTCTGGCACCTCCAAACAATCGCCTTGGAGCAAAGCCTGCAGTCCATGCATTTAGAGGATCTGTTACTCCCTAACAGTGAGCAAATGCCGAAGAGTAGTGTGGCTTATTATACAGCAGAATATTATTTAGTCTCAGAAAGAATACCCTGCATTTCATTATACCATGAGTTAACTTGGAGTTCATTAAGTAAAGTATTTAGAAGACCTTCTGTAGCTCTTTAGAAATTGTGCATATTTTACCTATTTTTTCACTTACACCAAGGCTATGAACTGCTGTTTTCCTATCTACTCTAAAATTTTGATATTCTGGCCATTTCATACAAGTGGATATTTGAACACTGTCTTGATGTCTATTGTGTTGACCTGGCATTTCCTAATTAATCAAGAAATGTAAGATTCAAAACCTCAGTCCTTTTTACGAAGGAAGAATACTCTCTTTCATGGGTAGCTTGCATTTCTAGGTATTCATTGACTGATAGACAAGTCAGTTGTTTCTGTCTTTTGGGTTCAATGAATAAATGAATAAATACTAAGGTAAAAGAGGCATGTAGAAGTTCTGTGTGGACTTCGTCTTCACAACTTTTTTTTTTATATATACCTAGGATAGAAAATGATGGGTAACATGGAATCTGTGATGATCATCTATGGGTTGTTTTATTCCAAATCATGATGATGTGAAATCTTCACACAGATGTACTAAGAAATAGAAACTTTCTCTGTGTAAATGTGCACCGTTGGGGATCTTAATAGTCAGTTAGCAGGACTGAAGTTTGCTTTGTGGAGTTCCCTTGTTAAATGCTGCAATAGGAAGAGAGACAGAGTGAAGAACACTCACATAGCCTCAGTCTGTCCCCATGGGATGCCCTGTGACTTCAGGACTCTCTCACCAAGAAGGCCATCTCCAGATACAATTACTTCACCTTGTCCAAAACTGTGACCCAAACTAAATTTCTTTTGAAAAGCTTTTTCCTGATTCTGAAGTGTTTTGTTTAGATACCATAGTTGACTGAAAAAATAACTGTTCCAGGACCACTTTTCATCTGCAGGAGATCTGTCCCCACCTAAAGGTGTGTCCATTTAGCTATAAATGTCTCCAGTTTATCTTTATGGCTGAGTAGTACTCCATTTTATAATTTTTTTTTTTTGTACCAGGGATCGAACTTGGGTCCTTGCACTTGCACAGCAGGTGGCGAAACCACTGACATAAATCCCCGCCCTCCATTTTATAATTTTAAAAAACCTCACCACATCTTTTTTATCCAGTCACCAGTGGATGGGCATTTGGGCTGTTTCCAAGTTTTAGCTATTATAAACTATGCTGCTATGAACATGAGTGCATGTATATTGCTGTGGTATGATGCTTTTAATTCTTTCAGGAACATATGTAGAAGAGGAATAGCTGGGTCAAATTGGACCTCTAATCCTAGTTTTTTTGGAATCTCCACACTGATTTCCACAGTGGTTGCACCAGTCTACACTCCCACCAACAGTGGAGAAGGGTTCCTCTCTCCTCACAGTCACGCCAGCATTTGCTATTGGTTGATTTCATGGTAGCAGCCATTCTTTCTGGGGTGAGGTGGAATCTTACTCAGAGTTGTTTTAATTTGCATCTCTCAAATAACCAGTGTTATTGAACAGCTTTTCATGTTTATTTGCTGCTGGTACTTCTTCATCTGAAAAGTGTCTATTTATTTCAGATGGCCCCTTTTGGATTGGGTCTTTAAATTTGGGGGTTCTGATTTTTTTTAAGTTCTTTATATATTCTAGATAGTAGACCTTTGTCTGACAGACAGCTGGTAAAGATTTTTTCCCACATTGTGGGATGTCTAGTCATTCTGTTGGTAGTTCTCTTGCTGTGCAAAAGCTTTTTAGTAAGATCAGATCCCAGTTATTGATTCTTTGTGCTAGTTTATGTGTGACTGAGGTATTGTTCATAAAGCCTTTTTCTACATCAATATCTTTTTTTCTTTTTGATACCAGAGATCAAACTCGGGACCTTGTACTTGTAACGCAGGCAGCAGAACCACTGAGCTAAATCCCCAGCCCATACACCAATATCTTTAAGAGTTCTACCTAACCTACCTTCCAGCAGGTTTAGTGTTTCTGTTTTAATATTTAAATCTTTGATCCATTAAAATTTTAGTTTAGTGTGTGGTGAATGATAAAGTTTTAGTTTTGTTTTTTTTTTTTTTGGTACCGGGGATTGAATTTGGGACCTTGCACTTGTGCTGGAACCACTGAGCTAAATCCCCAGCTCAAGTTTTAGTTTTAACCTTTGGCAAGTTGAAACCTAGTTTTTCAGCACAATTTATTAAAGAGGCTATCTTTCTTCCAGTGAGGATGGTTGGTCCTTTGTCAAAGATGAAGTGGCTGAATATGTCTGGAGTTGTTTCTGCATCTTTTAATCTGTTCCATTGATCCTCAGGTCTGTTTCTTTGCCATGCTGTTTTTATCACAGTAGCTTTGTAGGTAGTATACTTTTAGGTTGGGAATTATGATACCCCTTACCTTCTCTTTGTTGCCTGGAATTACTTTTGCTATTCTAGCTCTCTTCTGGTTCCAAATGAATCTTCATATTGTTTTCTCTAGTTCTGTGAAATACACTGTTAGAATTTCAATCAGGATTGCATTGAATCTGTACAGCAGTTTTGAAAGTATGACCATTTTCACTATGTTGGCTCTTCCTACCCGGGAACAAGGGATGTCTTTCCATTTTTTGATATCATCTTCAATCTCTTTTTTCAGAGTGCTGTGATTGATTTCTAGCTATTTCATATTTTGGATGCTATTGTGTCATTTTCCCAATTCCTTTCTCAATGAGTCTGTTACTTGTTTACAGGAAGGATATTAATTTTTGAGTATTGACGTTGTATCCAGCTACTCTAGTGAATTTGGTTATTGAGTCTAGAAGTCTTTTGGTGGGGTTTTTGGAGTCTTTTATTTAGAGTATCATGTCATCTGCAAATAATGACAATTTGACTTCTTCATTTTCTATCTTCATTCCTTTTGTTTCTTTCTCTTGTCTAAGTGCTGTGGCTAATGTTTCCAGAACAATATTGAATACGAGTGGTGATAATGCACATCTTTGTCTTATTCCTGATTTTAGTGTGAAAGATTTTAGTTTTTGATCATTTAGTATGATGTTGGCTGTTGGTTTTTCATAGATAGCTTTTATCAGGTTGAGATAGAGACCCATCTATTCCAATTTTCTGTAGGGTTTTTATCAGAAATTGGTGTTGGATTTTATCAAGTGCTTTTTCTGCATCTATTGAAATGATCATAGGGATTTTATTCCTGACTCTTAATAGAGTGTGTTACATGTATTGATTTACGTATGTTGAACCATCCTTGTATCCCTGGGATGAATCCCACTTGGTCAGGTTGTACGATCTTGAATTCAGGGCATGTGATCTGAGCTACATACATTCTCCACTTTTTAATGTTATTATTTAATTCTGACAGTGAGTCTCTGTGATATATAAGGTGAGGGTTGAATTGGATGCTGCTGCCTCAAGCTAGGAGAGTGGTGTGAATACAGATGTGCACAACAAAGCTGTGGTGAGTGGTTTACAATTTTATTTACAAGATCACAATTTGGGGTTAAATTAAACTTCAACCATTTGTTTTTATGTCCAAAAATTTGTAATTTGTTTATCTAGAGAATGTGTAGTAACTAGTGTAAAGCAATCTTTGGATTCTTCCGCATTTACATAACTTTTTGTAAATTTCAGATTAGTGGTATGTGTGCAGTAATTTTTTAAAAAAGGATAATTCTCTCCAGAATCTGGAACAAAGAACCTAAGACTGTTATAATTTCCCAAACAGTATAAGTATCCCTTTTTTTATAATACACCACTTCAGGACAATTATTTTGGAATCTGATTTTGTGGCTGTGTATCAGAAGTAGGCTCTGAATTAGACAGAATTGTGGTAACTGTGGGTGGTATGAGAATTCAACTTTGAGCCTGGCTGTTATTGGTGGAGAATTTCTTAATGTTCAGCAAAAAATACACATTTGAATTTTGAAGTGAAATTTGGAAGAAGCACAGTTGAACAACCTTCAATGAATGAGTGAGTTTTGGTACTTTTCAGAGTTCAGCCTGTGGAAAATTACCCTGGGAGGATGGCTCAGAAGCACATGTGGGCATTCTCTTGCATGTGTTTTTCACCCTGGGTGCATGGGGCACAATGAGAGTGATGTGTAAGCTCAGGAATATGTTTAACATTCTGAGTGTGTGTTGTCTTGTGAGTTTCTTCCCCATTGCTTGTGTTGATGGATGTTATTTGGAAAGAGAGAAAAAGAGAGAGGGAGAGAGAGAAAAAGAGAAAGAGAGAGAGGTGTTGGCTGAAGGATTTAGAAAATTTTATTTCATGATTTATCCATAAAAATTTTATATTCTTGGAACCTAGTAGACTAATTTGAAGAAGCAAAACAAATATAGATATAATGTCTTTTTATATTTAACATAAACCTGCATAAAGCTCCACAGAGTCACGATGCTAGTGAGCAGATCAACCATGCTTCCTTCTAGTTCGTCTCTTTGATTTCATCTAACTACAGCCAGAGGTGGCTACAAATGGAATTTTGGATGCTCACTGTGGCTTTACCATCACATCATTAAGCAGAGAGTTACTCAGTTAAAACTCTTTGGAATTTTAAAGGAGCTAATAATTGAGGGTATTATGATACTATTAATATGGTGAAGAGGTTATTTGTCATTGCTTTCTCTCAAGCTATTACCAAGAGGACTGTAGGGAAGTTTGTATTTCAGCCACTTCCTTCACTTATTCCATAGGTTCTGATTTTGCATTGTTTGTAGTTGTTGATTGTGATGTCTGGACAGAACCGGCCCTGGCAGGACTTGGGTCTCCCTTCATCAGCTGTGGTGTCTTTGTTCTTACATGTGAATTGAAGCTACAACCTTGGTCCTTTCTGGCCCTCAGGGTGAGGATGTGGCAGCACCCAGGACCTGAGTATCCTCACCTATCCCAGACAGGTGACTTCATTGTGGCCAGAGTCCTATCTTAGGTAGCCCAGTGCCTGGGGCCATCTTCTCCCCAGAACGTGCAGTGACATCAGGAGGGCTGCAGAGAGATTCTCGCCTCATATGCATGGCACTATGTATGATGTGCTGGGTGTCCTGTCTTTTTTCTCCCAACAGCAGACTTGGTGTCCTGTTTATATCTCAAATATCCCTTAGATGTCTCATGTATGTGTAAGTTGTGTGGATTTTGGGGGCCACATGCCCATCAGTGGACTCATCATCCATTGATGTGTTCAGTAACTGAGCGTGCTGTTACCATCTGGACCCTGGATGGAGGTGGGTCACTCAGGTGTGACTTGGAAAAGTGTGGTCTGTTTTCTGTGTTCTCCCCCCCCCCCGCCTGCTTCCTGGCACTTTTCCTTCCATCATGGTTTTTGCCACCTATTTCTGCCTATTTTTATCATATCCCTCCCCCCATTTCTCCTCTTATGCCCCATTTCAAGTCACTGAACCAGAGGATCATATGTAGTCCTTCATCTAATTTCTCTGTGATTTTCCAACAAAAACTAATTTTTCATTAGCTTTCCAAATTATCATTGATAAATTTTGGTTCATGTTCAATGCAGGCTTTGTCTATGAAAGCAGGTTGAAGTTTCAAAATGCTGTCTAAATAGAATCAGAGAAGCAAGGAATCACCTCCCTAAATAATGAGTTCAGGAAAAAAAAGATATTTTGTATAATTTTGCAGTGTAATTCTTCAGACACTCATCTACCAAACTTTCTTCACTTGGATTCTGACTTGGGGGTCTCCCTCTGTGAACCATGCTTTAGTAGCAGTGTACAAGCAAACCCAGGTGTAACCAGCAGGAGAAGCAGTGTTCCCATTGCACTGTTGCTTTAACAGTGAATTCCAGTGTAACAGCAAAATTCCTGTGTGAGGCGTGCATGTGGATGGAGGATAAGTGTTTGATGACTGAGACATGAAGTAAACGTGGAAAACTCAGCCTCATATCAGCTTTGTATGAGATGAGATGGTTCATGTTGTGAATCTCACGCTTCTTCCTGGAAACACATCTGATGCTTTAGGAGGCAGTGACCTTCGAGGATGTGGCTGTGAACTTCACCAGGGAGGAGTGGGCTTTTCTGGATCCATCCCAAAAGAAGCTCTACAGAGATGTGATGTGGGAAACCCTTAGGAACCTGGCTGCCATCGGTAAGGAGATACCATTTCCTCATCTCTGCAGTCAGAGAGCCTTGGTTGGTGCTCACCAGTGCAGTTTCCTTAATCGGAAGGTGGAAGCATGGTGATGCATCTTCCAGGCATGGTCACATTTTACTGTGACTCTAACTGGAAACTACCAATTTTCATATAACGCAGTAAGTCCTCATTACATTTCTGTTGCTGCACTTTAGGGAGAAGCTCAGGTGACCAGCAAATTGAAGATGAGTACAAAACTTGGAGTAAAAGTCTAAGGTAATTTGCACTCAGAAAAATAATTTTCCTCCAGTGGCAGAAATACTAAAACCAAGCGAAGTATATAAACAAGGCCATGGTCAAATTTTTTCATCTCACAAAATTTCTCAAAGGATTTACCCACATTGAATATCTCTGATCTGACAATTGAGTATTTGAAATATTTCTGTATCTGAAATGTAGGTGCTACTGATATTGTGACAAACATGACATGTTTGATGTAATGTAACAGAGCCAACCACCAGGCACAGTGTGTGCCCACCTGTAACCCCAGCACTTGGGAGGCTGAGGCAGGAAAGTTGCGGCAAGTTAGCAGCCAGCCCTGGCCACATAGTGAGTTTCAGGGCAGCCTCAACTGCAGAGTGAGAGGCTGTCTCCAGAAACACAAAGAACAAGCAAATTATGTTCCATGCTCAAAATTACAGGTATGTTGAATGAAATTGCATTCTGGCCTTGTGTACAGGAGTATAGAAAACTAATTTTGTGGATACACTGAGAGCTAAGTTTTAATTGTATACATGTGTGAGTGTGTGTGTGCGTGTGTGTTTTTAAATGATGAGTTTCATATCAAACAAATGATATGAGTAATACTCTATGGAGTTGAACGTGATATACACATTCGTATTTGAAAAATTGCTAATGTTGTGGATGTACACAAAATCCACGTGAATGCCGCTGTTTTGATCATAGCTATTATTGGTGTGACTCTCAGTGCGGTATAAGATCTAAGGAAGTGTACATAGAGATTCCACAAAAGGGAAAAAACAAAGTTCCATATCATCCCCCTATGCTTTGTGCATATTTGTCACAGAGGTAATCATATTACCAGCATGTATAAATACTCATTTGTAGAAGCACAACTTAGCAACGCTAAGCTCTGGAGAAAGCCTAAATGCCTATTCACAGATGAGTTGATTAAGGAAACATGGGGTAGCCTGAGCATAAAGGGGCAGGCTTGGAATCCCAGCATTGTGGGAAGTTGAGTCAGGAAGGTCATATATTTATGCTCAGCCCTTCCACCTTAACGACAGGTGAGACTGTTTCCACATAAAAATTTAAAAACTCATGGGTGTATCTGAGGACTAAAACCTGGGTTCAGTTTCCAGCACTGAAAACCTTGTGATATGTACGCATGATAGAAGAGTATTCATTCATAAAAGAGAAACATGATGTCATTTGCCAAAATTTGGATGGATCTAGAGCCCATGATGTTAGATTACATAAGGGAGACACACAAATTTCAGTATCAGAAGTTATGTTTTACATGAGAACCCCAAAACATGAATTAAGGAGTCAAACCAAGGAGGGATGGTAGAAAAGAGAGAGGCAGACATTTTGGAGTGGGTGAAGAGGCTCAGTGGAAGGGTAGAGAATGGAGTCATGGAGGAAAAGGTATCAAAGGCATCGGTATATGGAATAAGTTTCATCCAGGTGTATTCCCAGTCCCCCAAATAAAGTTAAGTATTCTGTATTGCATGTCAATTAGGGACTCCAAATGAATCCTACTGCTGTGGTAAAAGCTCTTTCCAAGCCATCATTGAGTGTACAGTACATTCACGATGAAATATTGTTAAGGGACATCAAAGCAGATCTCTTTGTAAATCATTACTACAAAGGCACTTTTAAATGTGATTGGTTGTTTTGTTACTTTTCCCTTTTACAGAAGTTTAGAAGGAGAGAAATCCTGTCCATATAAATTATGGTACCAAGATGGAGAAATGGTTGTTCAGACTCCAGATATTGTTCCAATTTTAGTATATGTGCTGCCGAAGCGAGCACGTCAGACTCCAGATACTAATGTGCACATGAAACTTGTTCATATAAATCCAGGTGAAAGGCTTTCCTCTAGAAGGCCCCTGATTGGTCATTCATCAGCAAATGGGCCCATCACAGCTAACGCTGGACTCAAATCACATGAGCAGCAGGGATTGGAAGAGACGTTGTCTAACTGTAACACACATGGGAAAACCTGTGCTAAGCTCCAGTCCTCTCAGAAACTTGCAAAGACAAGTCCTGGGGAGAAACCCCATGAACACAGGCCATGTGGAAAGTCCTACTCTGATTGCACTGAAGAAAGTACCATTGAAGAGAAGCCATTTGTTTATAAGCAAGATGTGAAATCATTCATTACAGCCAGTGATGGTCAGATCAGGCAAAGCAGTCACAGTGAAATGAATACATATGCATGTATACCATGTGGGAAAAGTTTTAATTCTCACCATGATATTCAGACCCATGAAAAAGCTCACACTGGAGGAGAAGTCTGTGTAGGCAAACACTGTGGAAAATTCTTCATGAACAACAATTCATTTGGTAATCATGAAGGAACTCACACTGTAGAGAGACCCTCTGTATGTAAGCAGTGTGGGAAAGTTTGCAGGAAAAATAGTCATTGTCAAATTCATGGAAGGACCCACACTGGGGAGAAACCCTATGTGTGTAAGCATTGTGGGAAAGCTTTCAACACACACAGTTATTGTAAAAAACATGAGCAGATTCACACTGGGGTGAAACCCTATACATGTAAGCATTGTGGGAAAGCTTTCAGAAGAAACAGTCATTGTCGAGTTCATGAAAGGATTCACACTGGGGAGAGACCCTATGTATGTAAGCATTGTGGGAAAGCCTTCAGAAGAAACAGTCATTGTCAAGTTCATGAAAGGATTCACACTGGGGAGAAACCCTATGCATGTAAGCAATGCGGAAAAGCTTTCCGTTCTCATGCAAATTGTCATACACATGAACAGACTCACATTGTGGAGAAACCCTATGTATGTAAGCAATGTGGAAAAGCTTTCCGCTCTCAGGCAAATTGTCATACACATGAACAGATTCACATTGTGGAGAAACCCTGTGTATGTAAACAATGTGAGAAAGGTTTTGGCACGCACAGTCAATGTCAAAATCATGAAAGGATTCAGAGTGGGGAAAATGCATATGTTTGTAAGCAATGTGGTAAAGCTTTCAGGACATATAGTCATTATCAGAATCATGAAGGGATGCACAAAGGGGACAAACCCTATGTATGTAAGCAGTGTGGGAAAGCTTTTAGCACACACAGTTATTGTCAAAGACATGAAGGGACTCACACCATGGAGAAACCCTATGTATGTAAGCAATGTGGGAAGGCTTTCAGCACACACAGTTATTGTCAAAGACATGAAGGGACTCACACCATGGAGAAACCCTATGTATGTAAGCAGTGTGGGAAGGCTTTCAGCACACACAGTTATTGTCAAAGACATGAACAGACTCACACCATGGAGAAACCTTATGTATGTAAGCAATGTGGGAAGGCTTTCAGTAGACGAGAGAGTTGGCAAATACATGAAAGGATTCACACTGGGGAGAAACCTTATGTATGTGAGCAATGTGGGAAAGCTTTCATCACACGTGGTGCTTGTGCACGACATGAACTTACTCACACTGGTGAGAAACCCTATGTATGTAGGCAATGTGGTAAGGCTTTCAGAACACGTGCTGATTGTCACTCACATGAACAGATTCACACAGGGGAGAAACCCTATGTATGTAAGCAATGTGGGCAAGCTTTCAGCACACGTGGTACTTGTAGAGGACATGAACGCAGTCACACTGGTGAGAAACCCTATGTATGTAGGCTTTGTGGAAAAGCTTTCAGAATACGTGCTGATTGTAGAACACATGAACAGATTCATACAGGGGAGAAACCCTATGTATGTAAACAATGTGGGAAAGCTTTCAGCACACAAAGTTATTGTCGAAGACATGAACGGGCTCACACCATGAAGAAACCCTATGTATGTAAGCAATGTGGAAAGGTTTTCAGCACACAGTTACTGTCAAAGACATGCACGGACTCACACCATGGAGAAATCCTATGTATGTAAGCAATGTGGGAATACTTTCAGCACACATGGTGCTTGTCCATGACACAAACTCACACTTGAGAGAAACCCTATGTATGTAGGCAATGTGGAAAAGCTTTCAGAACATGTGCTGATTGTTAAAACACATGAACAGATTCACACAGGTGAGAAACCCTATGTATGTGAGCAATGTGGGAAAGCTTTCCATACACATGGTGGTTATACACTACACAAATGCACTCACACTGGGGAGAAACCATATGTATGTAGGCAATGTGGAAAAGCTTTCAGAACACATACAGTTTGTAAAATACATGAACGAATTCACACAGGTGAGAAACCCTATGTATGTAAACAGTGTGGGAAAGCTTTCAGCACACACAGTTATTGTCAAAGACATGAATGGACTCACACCATGGAGAAACCCTATGTATGTACACAATGTGGGAAGGCTTTCAGTAGACGAGAGAGTTGGCAAATACATGAAAAGACTCACACTGGGGAGAAACTTTATGTATGTAAGCAATGTGGGGATGCTTTCAACACACATGGTGCTTGTACACGGCATGAACGCACTCATACTGGGGAAGAAGCCCTATGTATGTAGGCAATGTGGAAAAGATTTCAGAACACGTGCTGTTTGTCAAACACATGAACAGATTCACACAGGGGAGAAGCCCTACATATGTGAGCAATGTGGGAACTCAACACATGTGGTGCTTGTAGACTACACAAATGTACTCACTGGGGAGAAACCTATGTATGTAGGAAATGTGGGGAAGCTTTTAGAACATGTGCTGCTTGTAAAACATGAATGGTTTCACACTGGGGAGAAACCCTGTGTATGTAAGGAATGTGGGACAGCTGCTAGCAACACTTGTTTTTCCAAGACATGAATGGCCTCACAGTGAGGAGGAACCATATCTATGTAATCACTGTGGGAAAACTTTCAACACACATGGTTTCTGTCAAATACCATGTGTATGTGACACTGGAGAGAAACCCTCTCTATATAAACAGTTGTGGAAAGCTTTCAGCTTATATGATAATTGTCAAAAACATGAAAGATCATACTCCATTGAATCACTAAGCACTGGGTGACTGCATTCAATACACAGACAAATTGTCAAATACATGAAAGAAATTACACTTGTGAGGAAGACTAATCATGAAAAGCTTCACTGAAGCAAGCATCGTGCACAGTAATGGGGGAGTAAAATAATTGAATACATAAAGTCACTTACACTGACATGAATGTGCCTGGGGAAAATCTTTTCAAGTAGATGGTGTAAAACCTGTGAGTCTATAGAGATGTTACATACATGTAAGATTTCATAGTGAAGAGAGTAGAAATCTGTGTGAGCAATGTAGAAATATTTTCAATTGCCTCATACATGGTTTGTGGTTTTTTTATGGTACCGGGGATTGAACTCAGGTCATTATGCTTGCAAGGCAGGCAGCAGAACCACTGAGCTAAATCCCCAACCCAGTTGCCTCATACATGAAAGAACTCCCACTATAGAGAAATCCTGTAGAAATAATGTCAGACAGCATTGTGTATTTCCCATAACATCAGAAAATGTACAGATTCATGGGTGTTGGTATAAAGAATATGAGAAATCATTTTTCCATCACTTCATGACACTGCGTTGCACAGTGGAGAAATTCATATCAATGCATATTATGCGGGAACACCTGTAGTCATTTTGGTTTAATTGACAGTGCAAATACACAGTATTGTGAGAAATCAGTATGAGGGAAGTACACAAATTATCAGTTGTCCTGCCTGAAACAGTGAATATTTTCTGAAGCACCTGTCAGCGTACAGAGTTCTCATAACTCATTTTCCAAAGCCTTTGATCACTTCTTATGTCATATGCACCTAAAAAATTAAATGTCAATTATTTCTCCAGAAAATACACAACCAGAGCAGATGTCCTAAAGTGTATGTATGTCATTAGCTCAGTCTTAAGGTGGCTCTCTGGACTAAAAATTTTAAGTTCACTTTCCTGAATGTTGTGGTCACATAATTTTTACATTTAGGTAAGCAATAGAATGACACTGTAAGTTGAGTAATTGTCTTCCTTATGTTGCGGTATGTTAGATTCACACATGAATTCCCTCATTCATTATATGCCAGTAGGCTCCATATCTTGTAGGAATTTTTGTTTTGTTTTTTGGTACAAGGGATGAAACTCAGGACCTTGTGCTTGTGAGGCAGGCAGTGGAACCACTGAGCTAAATCCCCAGCCCTACATTTGTTTCATTTGTTTTCTTTTGCTTTTAGTTATTAGGGAATAATACAACTCCAAAACAATTTTGCTTAAATGTCATTTTTCTAGTAGCTTCTATTTAAACTTTGGTGTATATATCTCATTCTAGAAAAATTTTTAATTGAATGTCATATTTTATAATGTTATTAGTATCAGTTTCTGCACATGTGTTTCAAGAGTTCATCTGTTTTCAAACATAGTGTAAATTACCAAATGTTTTTAATATTCTTAGAAGATATCTGTTCCAACATATTACAGATTATATCCTCTGCATCAGAGCCATTTTTAGGGCCGAGAATTTAGCTCAGTGGTTTCACCACCTGCCTCACAAGCGCAAGGACCAGAGTTCGATCCCCGGTACCAAAAAAAAAAAGAGCCATTTTTGTATGTGTTCAGTATTAATAATTTTTGTTCATTCAATTTTAGTTTTCATGTTCATGTTGCCATGATTTATTTTGGCGGTAATTTTTAAATCTGTTGTGCAAAAAAAGTATTTTTCTGAGACCCACACTCCCAGAGGCCAGCAGGACCATATTTTTTTCAAAGAATATATAATTAATTCTAATAATTAACCACTCCACAAGCTATGAATGATAAGATTTGGTAGGAAGTACATTCATAGAGGAATTTTTGACAGTGTTGAAATTGTTTTGACAGTGATTTCTACTCTTTGTACTGAAGCAGTCTTTAGTTTTTGGATGCTGTGAATACCAATTTGTGCTTTGAAAATCCATTTTGTTTTTTTTGTTTTTGTTTTTGTTTTTTTTTGGTACCGGGGATCGAACTTGGGCCCTTGTGCTTGCCAGGCAGGTGACGGAACCACTGAGCTAAATCCCCAGCCCTCCATTTTGTTTTTTAACCTGGGAATCTTAAATGAGTTTGTAAAAAAAGAAACAATTTCTGTGATTTGTTTGTGTTCAGTTTTATTATCTTTAGAATAAATTTATTGCTTAAAGTAGAGACATTTATAGCTGAATGGAAGCACAATGAGGCCATCCTCTTAAATGAAATAAATAGGACACACATGTGTAAATACCAAATGATTTCTCTGGTGTGAGAAGCTGAAAGTGTACATGAGGACCAAAATGTGTAATAGGTAATGTGAAATAGGCAGAAAATGTCTGAAGGAGGAGGGGAGCTGAAGGGGAGGGGAAAGAAAGAATATGAGAAAAGGTAAAAACAGCAACAAAGTGTAAATAGGGAGGGGGGAGGGGTAGAAAGGAGGACGGGAATGGGGAAAAAAGAACCAAGATGTATCATGTACAGGTACAAATCCCGAATGCTGACTCATCATTTTGTATACCTAAAATGTACCAATAAACTTAGTGAATAAAGAAAAGAATTCAGAGTGTTTTGGTTATCAGTAAATGCCACTGTCTGACGATTGCAGGAAGTGATGTCACTTCCACTGCATAAGACTTGTGCAGGCTGTCAGTGTGAGACCAGCTGGCTTCCTTGAATTATGTTCCTTCTTATTTCCTGATAGTGTAGTGCTTTGTGAAATATTCTGCATTGTTTCATCCTTACATTCAGTAGCTGCTCCACTTACTGTGGGGTTGCATTCCAATAATGCAAGGTCAGAGCCTTGGTGAGAAATCCATGAAGTATTCCCAATATTTTGTACAGTGTACCTCATCCTAAGTGAACTTAAATTATCTTCAGACAGTTAAATTAGCTGTCAGGTGAGCAATAATATAGAAACAATGTCTTATTGGCTTCCTTAGTTTGCTTTTTTGAGTAGTGTCTCATCATATAGCCCAGGCTGATCCTCAGCCTCCCAAGTGCGGGGATTACATGCATTCACCAGCACACCTGGTAAACCATTATGTCTATTTTATAATGGAGTATTAAATGTCACATGTGCTTCATGAACATTGCAGAATGTAGTATTAGCTTTTACATCCTTGAACATGGGGCTAATTTTTTTTTGGTTTGTTTCATTTTGGTACCAGGGATTGAACTCAGGTCCTTGTGCTTGCACAGCAGGAGGCGAAACCACTGAGCTAAATCCCCGGCCCATGGGGCTAATTTTACTGCAGCTCCTTCGAAATTCTTATCATCATCAGGACTTTGCATAGTGCATACTGCAATTCCAGCCCAAAGAAAAGTGGAAATAGGGGTCACTGTATCATGAGCATATTTATTTCCTACCATCTTAGCATCAAAAAATCTTGCTGTTGCCAGTAGTTTGCATCTACTCCACTCACTCGAGAAGCACAAGTGAATTGCATGATTAAAACCAACCTGTGCAACTCGAACCTGTATCAAAGCAAAACATGAAAAGCTGCAGATGTAGCCCAGTGAGTTAATATTCATGAGTAAAGCCTGTGTTCTATCTGCCGGGCATAATGGTACATGGCTGTAATCGTAGCACATGGAAGGTGTTGTTCCAAGCGAGCCGATAAATCACCAAATGCTGGGACCAGTGACAAAGTTAAACTCAAAGGCATTTATTCACGTGTGGACTCCACTCTAGGAGAAGTGAAGCCCCGAAGCAGGGGACAGTACAGGCTTATAGGTAACTCAAACAAAGAAGTTCAGGGAGAGGCCAATATGTCCTTCAGCCAGCTGCAAAATATCTTTCACAACCCAGTTCTTTTTCATCCCACCTATCTTGTCAAGATGGGGCCCTCTGTGGCTACAGGGCTCGGTAGTTACAGGGAGGCACCAGGCACCATCTTTTCCCGGGGAGTGATAAAGCATGTTTACAGAAGCAGAGCAAGCAGCTATCTTGGGAATTCCAGCACTCTATAAGGGGAGGGATATGAGGGGAGTTTATTCACAGGCCAAGATGGCATTTCTTAGGTTCACTTTGGTCTCACATTCCCCACTGGTTTTCGTACAGAATCAAACCTTTGATTTATCTCTGTCATTTTTTCTCAGGCAAGGGTCTATACATTTGATTCAGCAACATAGTAGTCAAATTTAATAATCTATGAACCGCTGAGAGCACTCCATACAGTAAGGTAGGCATTGTAGGCAGCAACACGATAACAAACATGTGATTACAATTAAGACTACAAGAAAAAGCTGTTTTAACCATTGCATATTAGGTAACCATTGAGTTAACCATTGAAACAGATCCCATCCTAATTTTTCATTATGTATTATCTCTGCCAATTTTTTCTGATTGTTTTCTTTTTTCTTTTCTTTTTTTTTTTTTTTTGGTACTGGGGATCGAATTCGGGTCCTTGCGCTTGCACAGCAGGCGACAAAACCACTGAGCTAAATCCCCGGCCCTTTTCTCCCCCCCCCCCCATACCAGGGATCGAACTCGCAACCTTGCGCTTGCAAAGCAGGTGATGGAACCACTGAGCTAAATCCCCGGCCCCCCTAATTGTTTTATTTTTTCCTGAATCCCTGGGCTATTGTCAGTTAGATTAAAACAACACATATTTTTTATTTTTTTGCATCCTTGATGATGGAACAGGAGCAAGTAATCTATTGCTGCCCTGTTGTCTAGTATAGCCCATCAGTGTTCTCGTGACTCCTGATTAATTAATGTCAAGGCAGATGAGGTAATGTTTAGACCTTTGACCACCTTGCATGCCAATTTTCATACTGCCTTTTCTGCATGAATTCCTATGGCAGGCTGAGCAAGCACAAATATTAACATAGGTATCACTTGAGCATCTGTCAAGAGACCTACATCATCATCACATCCTGGTCCAGTATAGGGTGACCAACGTTTAATTCTTTTGGGCACTATCAAATCAGTTCGATATGGCAATATTATGGCCAAGTGACTTAGGCAGCATCGAGTCTCAGACAAGTAGGCAGGGATAAAATTAAACGTTACTCCTTCACAGGTATAAAACCATCCTGATGGTGAAGGCACATGACCATCACTGTATATGATTCTTTTGTTCCTCATAACAGGTCATTTTTTCTAACCTTTTTAATCTTAGGCATTTTGTAGTACAATTTTTATATACAGCACATTGTGTATTGTTTAACATGACCATCTGAGGTGTATATAACTTAATAGCATTTTTTTGGTTTAGAATAAGAGGGGGTCCCCCAATTGTAACTATCTTTATACGTAAGATTTTTTCCTGGGATGTCTTTAAACAGAGTATAAGGTTGTATCAGACCCAAGGGAGTGCACAAGGGGATGAGACAACTCCCTAATACATAATGTAAATTTATGTCTACATTTAAACAGAACTCAGACAAATTAAGTGATTGTGCCAGCTGAATCCAAACATTACCATTATGGTCCAATTGTTTTGGGGGTAGTATTGCCAATGTTCCAGAAAATATTAACAAGAAGGGGATGTATTTCCAACCCATCCCAGTCTTAGCTTTTTCTTGCCTGGTTGACTGATGATCCTCCATTTGTCCTCCAGGGTGTCCTCAGGAGCCACTTTGATGTGGCAGTGATGGATCCATGGTATTTTTCATGCGACCTTTATGGCAGATGGTGTTGTCAAAATCACCTGGAAAGGCCCCTCCCAATGTGGCTCCAGAGCCTTAGATGAATGTCTCTTTACCAGCACCAGATCCCCCGGCTGAAATTTATGGTTGGTGACATCAGGCTGAGGGGCCGGCCTGGCCTCCTGAGCTTGATTCCACAGCTCCTGTTGGATTACCTGGAGGGCTTTTAAAGAATTTAACAAAGTATGATTCTCACATTCTGATACATTTTCCAAATTTACCTTGGACAGTAAGGGAGGTGGTCTCCTGAACATGATTTCATAAGGAGTTAACTTTTCTATATAAGGAGTGCACCTAGCCTGCAAGAGGGACAGTGGGAGGAGGTCTGGCCAGCTTCTTCCAGTTTCTAAAACAAACTTAGTTAATGTTTCTTTTAAGGTTCGATTCATCCTTTCCACTTGCCCTGAACTTTGTGGCCGATAAGCACAATGAAGTTTCCAACCAATGTTAAGGGCCTTGGCCACCAATTGAGATAACTTAGCAGTGAAGGCTGGGCCATTGTCGGACCCCAGAGTACGGGGGAGGCCAAATTGGGGGATGAGCTCCTGTAACAACTTTTTACTGACTATTGTAGCTGTCTCTCTTTTAGTAGGGAAGGCTTCTACCCATCCAGAGTAAGTATCTATCCAAAACAACAGGTACCTGTATCCACGGCTGGGCTTGACTTCAGTAAAATCCAATTCCCAAAATTCCCCAGGATGCTCACCTCAGCGTCAGGTTCCCTCACCTCTGGGTGTTGTCTTGGCATTTACCTGGGTGCATGTCTGGGACTGAGCGCAAACATCCTGGACCATGGCAGCCAGCTTAGGAGTTAAGAACCTGGAACCTATCAATTGTCTGAGTTTCTTTTCTCCTAGGTTAGTAAACTGATGTATTTGTCGAATTAGCTGTCAGCCAAGAGCCTGAGGCAAGCAGACTCGGCTGGCCGGTTGTTGGGATGGCTCCACCATCTATTTTTATCTTTTATAGCTCCCACCTGGGCATTTTGTTCCTCTTTTTCTGATGAGTAATGTGGCTTAGTCAGCAGCTCAGAAAAACCTTTAAGGAGCAGGGTGGGGGCCATCCCCACTGGTTTTCTGGCAGCCAGTTTAGCAGCTAGATCAGCCTTTTGATTTCCTATGACCTCCGGTGTGTCGGGCCTCTGATGACCCTTGCAGTATCTTATAGCCACTGATGTAGGCTTCCATATGGCTTTTAGTAAAGCTAGGATCTCATGTTTGTTTTTGATGTCTTTCCCTCCTGATGTGAGCAGGCCCCATTGTTTATATATCTCTCCATGAACATGTACAGTTGCAAAGGCATACCGACTGTGTAGATGTTGACAACCTTCCCTTCACCCAGGTTTAAGGCCTGAGTAAGAGCCATCAGCTCTGCTCATTGGGCTGAAGTTCCAGATCCCAGAGCAGCAGCCCACCTTGTCACTCTCTGGCCATCCACCACCGCCACCCCTGCATAC